AGGTGGGGAGACCTCGCTCGCCTCCGACCTGCCCCTTGTGCTGTAGCTCCTCCCCAAGGTTGAGGAGGAGGAGGGTGGGGACACCACAGAACTTGTCTCACAAACAGAACCCAGGGCAGAAGCTCCTGGGTGCCAGGGCAGGATTGTTGAGCTCCTCTCGGTCTCACCGTTGGCCAGGGATGCTCCTTCTCTTCCCAAAATGAGAGAAGGGATGGGGACTGACCTCTGAACTGTGCGTGCCTCTTCCCCCTGTAGACATGGACACCTTCAGCACCAAGAACCTGGCCCTCCAGGCCCAGAAGAAGCTGTTGAGCAAGATGGCCACCAAGACCATCGCCAACGTCTTCATCGACGACACCAGCAGCGAGATCCTGGACGAGCTTTACCGGGCCACCAAGGAGTACACCCACAACCGCAAAGAGGCCCAGAAGATCATCAAAAACCTCATCAAGATAGTCATGAAGCTGGGCGTGCTGTACCGCAACGGGCAGTTCAGCCCCGAGGAGCTGCTGGTGATGGAGCGGTTCCGCAAGAAGGTGCACACCTTGGCCATGATGGCCGTCAGCTTCCACCAGATAGACTTCACCTTCGACCGCAGGGTCCTGTCGGGCGTGCTGACCGAGTGCAGGGACCTGCTGCACCAGGCTGTCAACGGGCACCTGACGGCCAAGTCCCACGCCCGCATCAACCACGTCTTCAACCACTTTGCGGACTACGAGTTCCTCTCGGCTCTCTACGGGCCGAGCGAGCCCTACCGCAGCCACCTGAAGAGGATCTGCGAAGGGGTCAACAAGATGCTGGAGGAGGAGAGCATCTGAAGCGGTCCCGGGTGGGCCACGGGCTGCTGGACTCTTGCCTCCTGTGAGATCGAGGGCAGGAGGTGTGTTTTGGCCATCACCAGGCTTTTGATGTCCTCTTCTCTGTAGGGTTTTTGTTTCTTCTCGTTTTCTCCTCGTTTCTACAACAGACTGAACCTCTTGACTGTGTCTAACCCTTGCCCAGGGTCTGCAAACCCCTCCCTGTGCTGGGCTGAGTCCTTCCCAGGTGATCCTGGGCTTCGGGGCTCCTGCTGTCCAGTTGGGGTTTCCTTTGCTCACCAAGTGCTCTTAGCTCGGAGTCCAGGGAACTGGACTCCTCACCTTGAACTCTGTTGTCACCCTCCTGGGGGGAAAACCAAACCAAAGACTCGTGGTGTGTGACACCTCTGAGGTGTCTCTGAGTGGGTGGGCAGCTGCTTGGATGAACCGTTGAGACTCTTACTGGAGGGTTCTCTTTCAGCAGCTACAGGAGGTGGTGGGAGCAAATCATGGTCCAGGCTTGTGCTGCCCAAGGTAGGAAGCTGCTTCTGCACCTCAGGCTAGCACAGGCTTTGGCCTCCTGAAAAGCAAGTCCTTGAGACAGAAGGATCCCAGCTCACCCTGGGCTGTCCCTTGGGGTGGGGAGGAGCTGGAGGGACCTGCTCCATCCCAGGTACTCCTTCATCCAGGGCTCCCACCAGCCTCCTGGGATGGTACCACTCCGATGCCTTCCTCGGTGGTTGTCCAAAGCTCTCCTAAGGATTTTGTACGGTTTTTTTGTGTCCTCAACTGAGTTAGGGTGGTTGTTTTTTAGCAAACTCTGTAGCCCTGATGAGTTATTTAAATAAACTCACCTGTTTGGCCGGGGTGCTCCATGGGGTGGGTACAGTGCCGGGGGCAGTGGGGTTTGTCTTCACAAGGTGATTGCTCTCTGTCCATCCCCTCAGTCACCCCGGGGAGGGGCAAATCCTGCTGGTGCACAGCCACCCACACGTGCTCCCCTCACCCCAGAGCGGGACCTAAACCCTAAACCACAACCCTGGTGGTGGAACACCACAGGCAGCTTCACAGGGCTTGGGGCAGCTTACCCACACGTGCTCCCCTCACCCCAGAGTGGGACCTAAACCCTAAACCACAACCCTAATGGTGGAACACCACGAGCAGCTTCACAGGGCTCGGTGCAGGCACCTCATAAAAGCATTGAGCCCTCAGAGCACGGCTGCCCCAGCCGTGGCTCCTCTCCGACGTGCTGCTCTCAGCTTTAAACACCCCAAATCACCCTTTTAGCATAAGATACAATGCTTCAATTAAATCTCAGCCAGCTTTATCTCCACGACCTGCTTGTGCCTCCTGTTCCCCGGGACGTCTCCAGGCGCAGGAGCTGCGGGTGCTCGCGGGCAGAGCGCGGCTCTCGGGCACTGCTCCCTTCCCACCCCTGGCTCGAGGCACGGATCACGTCCAGCTTTGAAGATTAAACACCAGAAATAAAGCTGCTCTTGCTGCTGTCTCGTGGGGCTGGCTCCAGCTCTCACAGCTCGTTGAACTGCACGACGGGGCGGGGGTTAAAATGCAGCTAGCGATAGGTGCGCGCAGAGAGCGTGGCCGAGAGCCACGCGGGTGCCAGTCCCTGGTTGGGGCAGGGGGATGGGGTGGCCTTTGGCACATGAGGACAGTCCCTCCTGTCCCTGCTGGGCTCGTGGCAGCTGTCGGGTACGTGCCCAAGAGGAGCCAGGGCTGGAAGTGGGGCTGTGGGCAGAGCAAGGGGAATGCAGCTGATGCTGCGGTGGCACCGGCAGCCAGAAACGCCCCGTGAGCTGTTCCTGAGGTGTGTGCCATGGGGTGCTCTAATGACACGAAATAACTCTGCTCAGAGCCCCAACTCGCCCCTCTTCCCCTTGTCCCCAGGGTTTTGTAGGCTCCAGGACCCACCAAATGCCTGGCACCAGCTTCCCTTCACCTGCAAGTGCCTTATCTGAAACTTCTCCCCCACACCCCACAGCAAACACCCACCTTGTTCCCAAACTCGGGCCTTTTTGACCCAGGAAGCCTGCTTAGAAGAGCCATTTTATGGCCTGGGTTCCCCATCCCAGCCCTGGCTGTGTGAGTCTGAGAAATGAATCTCCCCAGCCCCCTCTTTGGTCTGGTTTCCTCCCAGCAACTAGTTGAACTAGGAGAAAGGTCAGAGAACTGCAACACCAGCACCCTAAATGTGGCTTGGAGCTTGGGCAGCAGCATGCTGGGGACATTCCTGGGCCCTGTGGGTTATCTGCAGGTCCAGAAAGAGCCACACAGCAGAGAGAGAAGCGTTTAGGAACAGCCTGGAAAACAGAACCTTTAAAATCCCACTGCCAAAACCTAGGGAACTCCCCCCAAAAATGAGCAAAGCAGCTACCAACGACCACGACCATCAGCAGGCATCAAAAGCACTTGTGGTGGTGGTGCTGGGTTATGCAGAGGTGCAGCTGGAGCCTTGTTCTCACATGTTGGGACTCCTTGGGTAAGAACCTCCCTAAACTCTGTAGCCTCCAAACTTCCATGCAAGATCTCAGCTCCTCCTGGCCAAGCAAATGCTGAAGGTTGTGCCAGTTGGAGTCACAAAGCAGAGCAAGCTCAGGCCAGAGCACGATGCTTTATTTCTTTATTGGTGTTGTATTTACACAGGAAAGGAATTCCACATTCCTCCACTGTTATTCCTATAGATAAGAAAAAAATCACTTCTGTATGTAAAAAATAGTCCTGCCGTGGTACTGAGCTGTGGAAGTGTTGCCTGGGTTGGTTCCTGGGTTGTGTCAGAATAAGCAGCTCTGCTGTCCCTGTGCCAAGTCACCCCCCCTGTGCTCTGCACCGGGGCAGCTCTGGAACATCCTCCCCAGGATGGCAGCCACCATCTCAACAAGGAGTCAGGCAGCTTGGGCCAACTCTACCCCTTCCCTCTCCCTCCTGCTTGATTTAATGATTTCCTCCTGTCATGCTTGCAGAGAGAGAAATCCTGCCTCCCCTCCAGAGACTCCAGAGTTAACAACTCCCCTTCAGCACACCACGCTTAAATCCAGCCACTTATCTCTCTGCATTGCTCTTCCTAGGAAGGGAGATAAGGAGCCCCTGTTGGAGGGGAGCTTCAGCACATTCAGGAGATCAACCGAGCCGAAAGCAGCCGACAGAAGGGCTGGCTGCAGATCAGGAGCCTCCCAGGAGGTTTCCAGCTGCAAAGCACCTTGTTACTCTGACACAAGGCAGAATCCATCCCTGCCTTCACACCTCCGAGCCCTGCTTCTGTTGGACCCCAGCACGTTTCAATACAGAACACAGAAAAGGTTTGACCAACCAAAATTAAAAAAAAAAAACAACCCAAACTCTGGTGAACAAGTAAATCCTCTTTATCTGCCCTCTTCTTCCTGCCCAGCACTGGCCTCGGGGTCACAGCTCGTCACGGGGCGTTTTGGCTACAATCATGAGTTTGGACAGTTCAAAACGGAACTTCCCTTCCCTGTGAGACACTGCAAAGAGAGAAAACCAGCGTGGGATAAACAGATGGTGAGGCAGCAATGAAAACAGCACTGCTGGTTCCCTTCCAGGAGGCCAGAGCCAGCAAGGCAGGCACTGCTCTTCCATCCCGTGCACGTGACAAGGACGTGGGGCTAAACCCCTCCTTCCCCCCCTGCTCGTTTCACAGTCACACTGGAAAACCTCACAGGACCCACAAAATCCTCCCAGCAGCTCTGGATCAAGAGCACCCCAACTCTGGATCAAGGGCACCCCAGCTCTGGATCAAGGGCACCCCAGCTCTGTCCCATGCACCGGCCTCCTGGATGTTGTCACCCATCTGCTTGAAGCTTCACCACATCCCTGAGGACAGCCAGGCTCTGTTCCCACCCCAGCCCCTTTTTTGTGCTCAGTCCCAGTCCTGCTTTCTCCTTTCTCAGTCACAGACCTGTTGTTTCGGTGACTTCAAACTCTTCCTGTTTTAAGGGGATGTCACTTTGTGTGCCCGCTGCAGCCTGAGACTGAAAGGGGAAGGAAGGAGGTTTAAGGACTTGAGGCAATCCCAGAAACTCCCACATTTAAAGCAAACAGCACGTTTGGAAAAAGAACTCATTGGTGTTTTCATAACGTGGAGTGAAAAAATAAAGCCCACAAAGGAAATGGGAAGGAAAACCTCTGGCTGTTTTTCCACCTCCTGTTAAACCACGACCTTGTGTCCTTTGGGTGACCAAAACCCCACCACTGAAGACTGAGGAATGGAAGAATGACCCAGACAAAAGCACCAGCAGAGGTTTTGCTTTACCACGTGTAAATTGTTGAGGCAAACCAAGCCTCCCCCCCGTGCAGTGCACCCTGGCACGAGGGCATCTTTGGAGCCAGCCAGGCTTTGCAGAGCCAGCAACAACCCAAGGGCCTTGAGGGAGCAGAAGGCAAATGGTGCAGGGGATCCTACCTGCTGCCACTCTCCTGCCTGCCACCACTCTCTCATTAGGGATGTGATGGAGTACGTTTGATTGCACAGATGTCTAATCAATGTTTTCCATGTCTAATTCGTGTTTTAGAGCAGCCTCCCACACGCCCCATCCAAGCACTCAGCTGGGACTTACATAAGCCATGGCATGCTCGATCTTGGCTCCTTTCACTTCAGCTTTAAACTGGGTAAAGAAGAGATAAGACTTCCCCTGGGGCCTGAAAGAAGCAAGCAGAGTCTCTGACATCGGCAGAGCGGGTGGAGGGGCAGATGAGCTCTGGATTCCCAGCTCCCTCCCTCCACCTCTGGCTCTTGTGTGGCTCCATCTAGTGAGGAAGGGGTTGAGGGGACAACTCGGCAGCTCTAACCCACCTGAGGAGCCCACCCAGAGTCACAGCATCTCTGGGGAGAGGAAAAGCCCCCGGAGCTGCCCCGCAGAGCAGCAAACCCAGCTGGGGGGGTCCCTGGCCCAGCTCCCACCTGCCTCACTGCTGCTGTTGGCTCCCAGAGTTGGGGGTTAGAGAACCCACCTCCAGATGGAGCAGGAGAAGAGCAGATTGTCCTCACTGACCCCGACGTTCATCTGCCATTGCTGCAGGGGGGAAAGGGCCAAACAGTCACCGTGGGTCAGAGCCCCCTGAGGGCAGTCACCTCCCCTCCCAGCAGACAAGTTTCAACCCTTCTAAAAGACCCAAGGCTGGCTGCTGGCCCCTTTCACATGCTGCTGCACAAAGGCCACAGCCTGGCTGCCCTCTCCTCACCACAATTTGGTTAGGGCAGTGGCAGTTTTTAAAGTCTCGTTTCCCTTTGGGCTAAAAGGACCCGATTCTAACAGGACTCGCAGCACAAATTGTGTCTCTGCATGACAATTACTGCCCAAAACCTTCAAGGCTCCTGAAGAACAACAGGAGTTACTCCTGCAAGGTGCTTCCTACCAAGCAGGGTATGAAAATATCCCCCCAGAGACACCCAGCCCTGAGGTTTGTTAAGCCTCACAAACGTCACAGCCTCACGAGCCACAGCATCCTTGCAACACACACAAAGGATGCTTCTGTCCAGGGAGAAATCCAACCAGTTACTTTTGGGACACAGACAGTGTTGGATGTGGTGCAACCAATCCTCCCCACAGTTCTCCTTGGGGACTCTCTTCTCCTTGGGGACTCTCTTCTCCTTGGGGACTCTCTTCTCCTTGGGGACTCTCTTCTCCTTGGGGACTCTCTTCTCCTTGGGGACTCTCTTCTCCTTGGGGACTCTCTTCTCCTTGGGGACTCTCTTCTCCTTGGGGACTCTCTTCTCCTTGGGGACCCTCTTCTCCTTGGGGACATCCTTTCTCCCTGGAGCCTTCTGCATTTGGAGATCCCCCCTTGAGGACCCTTTTCCCCCTTGAGGAACCCCTTCTCCTTGGAGACTCCCTTCTCAGTGGGGGTCTCTACCTCCTTGGGGGTTTTCCTTTTTCCCTTGGGAGCCCCTTGCCTTTGGAGATACCCCCTTAGGGACTTGGGGACCCTCTTCTCCTTGGGGACATCCTTTCTCCCTGGAGCCTTCTGCATTTGGAGATCCCCCCTTGAGGACCCTTTTCCCCCTTGAGGAACCCCTTCTCCTTGGAGACTCCCTTCTCAGTGGGGGTCTCTACCTCCTTGGGGGTTTTCCTTTTTCCCTTGGGAGCCCCTTGCCTTTGGAGATACCCCCTTAGGGATCCTCTTCTCCTTGGGGTCATTCTTTCTCCCTGAGAGCCTCCTGCCTTTGGAAATCCCTCCTTCGGGACTCCTCTCTCCCTTGGGGATCCCTTATCCTTGGAGATGCCCTTCTCAGTGAGAGTGTCTCCCTCCTTGGGGATCCCCTTTTCCCCTAGGAGCCTCCTGCCTTCGGAGACACCCTCCCTGGAGGATCTTCTTCTCCTTGGGGTTCGCCCTTTCCCTGGGAGCTTCCTGCCTTTGCAGATAACCCCTTGGGAACCCTCTCCCCTCTGGGGACCCCCTTCTCGGTGGGGGTCTCTCCCTCCTTGGGAACCCCCCTTCTCCCTGGGAGCCTCCTGCCTTTAGAGACCCCCC